CCTGTTTATTAGTCTGTCACCATCTATTGGTATAAGTTGTTTGCATGTAAAATTTGTTAATTTCCCAGTTTCGGCCAAGGGCCAACTCACGGTTACAAATGTCCCTCGGAGAAGAGATAAGTGGCAGAACGATGCTCGCCGACGACAGACCCTTGACAGGCGGACAGTCCGCGGCTCGTCAGGAAGACGGCGTCGTTCGCCGAGAAGCCCTGTGGGCTGTAGGAGACCGTCCGTCCACTGCGTCGCCGATGGCACGCCGGACTTTCAGCCGAGGACAACTGGACGTGGTGCCACCCGCCGGGAAGAAGCATGACAAGCTCGTGATGGAGCGCCTGCTGGGGAAACAGACGTCTGCCGATCCGATACTTGTAGCACCGGCTGAGAGGGTGGACTTGGTGTTTGGATGGCGGCCGAGGCGGCTGCGCTGAGGCTCTCAGGGATGCCGCGCGAACACGCCGCACCAGGAAAGGTTACAGCAACCTGGGGAGCAAATTCTCCACACCACACAAGACAAGCGAGGCATCTCACGTACGATGTTTTACAATCACAGCACTGACAAAAGTCATCCACAAAAGTCATCAAAATACAGAACCTACGCCACTTGGATGTCTATTCCTTTGCAGCTTATGTTTGAAAATTCAGTATAGGCACTTGGTCACTTAAGAAGCAAATGCTGCCCCTGAGCATTGAAATATTGTCATGTAACTTTATCAGCATTGTGCTAGACCATTATATACTCCTGTGATTTTGCCTAATTTCGAAGACAACATTGCTGGGTGTCTATACATTGCATCCCCACGCTAAGTATCCTTGTCCATCCCATAATTTCTTTCCATTTGGTCATATACCACGATTTCAACCTGAACAATGAGATTTACCTATGGCTGATTAGTTCTTAAAGGAAATAGTTCACTTTCCTGAAATTAGTATTTTGCTATGGATTTATGTTTTTTATGCTCAAAATGATCAGAAAATAAAACAAAACGTTTTTGTAAAAAGGATTATTTTCTATATTTTAGTATAAGAAGAACTATATTCTATATAAAATAATGTTTGACGCGGAAGCTTATTACGCGTTGACCAATCATATTGCGTAGGACAAACCCATCGGCTGTAAGCAGCATTCTGATTGGCTGACGATGACGTGACTGCATTCCTCAGCAAGGCACGCATTCCTCTGCAAGGCACTCTTTTCGGAACGAAAAATGGAATATCTTCGTCTAGGGTCGTTGGGCCGTAAAAGCTTCTGATTTGTGCTAGTCTCAGCGCAAGCAACAAAACTGCTATTCCAGTTCCAAACCCCATGTTAAAAGTGAACTATTTCCTTTAAGAACAAATGGTGTTATACACACATAAGTGAACCTTAGAGTCATACCGTGTCATTTCAGCAATACTCGTGCTGTCCAGTGCTTCGCTTATGCCCAATCATATAATGGTGTATCACCTGCGAATTAACGTCAACGAACGCACACAACACACCTCGAACTGCGCCCAACGGCAAAAAAAATCGATACAAAGGAAAGTTTTCTTTTCACAGCTGCTATGAGCGATGAGCAATATCTTTGAAAATGATGGTTATAGAATCATTGGCCTGCGTTCATGTTTTCGATTTGGAGTGCATGCAACTGAATGTAACATTGTCTTCGTAATAATAAGAAAGAAACATACCGCAACGGCTTCGTATCACTTGCCTGTACAAGTCTCCTGGCTCTTATCAGGTACCGCATATAGTAATATCTCCCTTAACTGCCTCGGTCTCCGACGCACCTCTCACAGGTAACACGCTGAAACGGATCGACTGCAACCACGAAAACAGCCTACATTCCTATTGCCCTCATTTTAGACATTAACTTCACGGAAGACGTCATTAATCTTCTAAAAGATGAAACATGGTTTTGATTGCAGGTATGAACGAAACCTCTAATGGTACGCAAGCCCTGTTTATTAGTCTCACCATCAAGATATTGATGTAATTTGTTTGCATATAAAATTTGTTAATTTCCCAGTTTCGGCCAATGGCCAACTCACGGTTACAAATGTCCCTCGGAAGAGAAGTGGCAGAACGATGCTCGCCGACGACAGGCCCTTGACGGGCGGACAGGCCGCGGCTCGTCAGGAAGACGGCGTCGTTCGCCGAGAAGCCCTGTGGGCTGTAGGAGACCGTCCGTCCACTGCCTCGCCGATGGCACGCCGGACTTTCAGCCGAGGACAACTGGACGTGGTGCCACCCGCCGGGAAGAAGCATGACAAGCTCGTGATGGAGCGCCTGCTGGGAAAACAGACGTCTGCCGACCCGATACTTGTAGCACCGGCTGAGAGGGTGGACTTGGTGTCTGGATGTCGCTGAAGCTCTCAGGAAAGCCGCACCAGGAAAAGTAAAGGCAACCTGGGGAAATAACGTCTCCACACCACATACGGCCGCGCTGCTACATCTTCATACCCCTAAAAGCCAAATGTTTTAATACATTAATGTTATCTGTCTAAGTGAGACCTCATTCGTTTTTGTGAATCGCGCAGAATAGAGTAGGCTAAAAAAAACAATATATGCTGAGGTTTAAACATTAGCAAACCCATTCATTGCGCACAATAGTTACGTATGCTTCCGCAGAAGCCTCCTTATTCTTAAAAAAGGACGATGTATGCCGTCAGAACCATGCAAGGATCATGCTATTTTGATACATGTGCATAGTCTAGCGAACTGTCACATAGGTATTACTGAACATGGTGCCGATGATAGCAAAATGTCTGGGGTAGCACTGCCACCGAGTGTCAGAAGTAAGCAACTAAAATGTTTTCATTGAAATGCCTGGAGACAACTGGCCTTTCTCCGGGGTTAGCGGACGTCCACTGGGTTGGACAGCATAGATGGCATCAGCTGTGGCAGTTACGGGGTACAATCTCGGGCACTCGAGGGTGGACAAAGAACCCTGTGGGAAAAACAGCACACCACATACGCCGCAGATAGGTACATACATTGTCGCTGAACCTTTCGTAAGAGATAATCTGTGAGCTGCACCACGATAACTCCTATCAGTACAAGCTAATCGCATGCTTTACAAAATGCCACTTACCTAATGGGCTATGTGTACATGCTTAATGCTGAAATGGATTAGGCCTACCATTTACGTGCAGTACAGAAGAGCACAATAAGCTAGTGGACGGCAATGCCTGGAAGCTGAAGTGAACGAACTGACAGCAGTAGACCCAGCACACCACAAGGTTTCAATCACTTGTATCATTCAAGAGACCACTAATTGAAACGTGGATGTAAGCACACGCACTGTCCGCACATTAGCACAGCAGCACAAGCACTAAACTCAATACCACTCAGATAGACCCCACTTATTAGTGCAATCATAGAACCGATTAGTGTATAGAGCAATCTACATAGCACCACAACGTCTCTGCTGTGCAGCTTCTCAAAAAAGGAAAAGTTGGTATACAACACTTTGACTAGGACAAAGAAAATCCGGGAAACAAAAATTTCGGACTCGTGTCCTATTGCTTACCTATCGACGAACTTATGGGTTTCATGACGTCTTTGGCAATAGGGAGGACGCAACGAGCAGACTTTTTTCCATGTGGAGCGAATGATCTCGAGGAATCACGCATGAAGACCTGACGTTAGGTACATGGCAGCACAATGCGAAGAACCAACACAACTCGTCTTTCATGTATGAAAATGTCTCACATATGACGATCAGATCAAAGGTACCTATAGTTTATATTTTCATGCAATGGCAATAAGCGATAAATAGCAACGGTGGAGGTTGCGATTACTCTGGATGTTAAACTCACGTATGTTCTCCTGGATGCTTAGCCAACTCCGTGCGATATTCGTACAATTGGCTCGCTCTAATAAAAATCTGTGAAGGGCTAAAACATGGTTATCTCCCCCACCCTCCCCCAACCCACGCTAACTCCCCCAAATCACCGAAAGATGATTAAAAAGTAATGCAAAAATGGGCTAATGTGGCCTCCAGTCCACCTAACAAGCTCTAGTCCTGCGGGTTTTCATATCAAGGCAAAATATTCCATCCACAGTACGAATGCTTACTGCTTAACCCTCATGGTTGTAGCAGTTTCTGTGAGGGTTGGAGCCATCTCACTTATCTCATGTAGGTACCAACATCAATGAACTCCCACAAACACAAACGGAATGACATGACTGATTTCGTATCAAGATTACTTGATGGGCTTTTGGAATGTTTGATAGTATCGAAGCAAATTAATGTGTCAGTCTCAGTGATTGATCACACTGCCGGGCTAACTCACGTGACGCGTCCTGCATCACCTTGTTCCCCTTCATGTACCAGTATTGGCGGCCAGCCGACTGCTCAGCGGATGTTTTATCGGACACGATCTGAAACAGACGCATATGCCGAGCGCCTCCCCAACGAACCACCCGGATTGAACGGAATGTTCGAAAACCTAACCCTTCAAAAAAAAAAAACACTAAATAATAATGATCATAATGCAGCATCTAGACAGAACAACTTTCCCCTTTGCTCTAGTATCTGCGGCAGTGATTTGACCACAACCTAATCGCGTCGATAGGCAAATTAACATCTATTCAGACTAGTGGATGGAGCGAAGCAATGGCCTTGACACAATGGACGAATATGATGGCCGAAAAGAACAGTCTCATTAGGAACTGCAGCATGGAACTTACTGTGGTATGTACTGAGGGCTCGGCTCATTCATGATCTATTCCCAGTCGCCATTCGCCTCCCTGGTCCCTCGTCCTGCAAATACAAAGTCTGCCTACCTGCCACACACATCTACCACTACATGTGCATTAACAACCGTTTTTGAGTTCGTTATTTTACATCATTTCTGATAATTGATAAACTTTCACCGTGCGTAGTGTCATCTGATAGTATAATGCACGTTGCCCCCTTTATTTCCTCAGACGACTCAGAATAACCCTCTCCATGAAACCTCTCGACACAACCTCACCTCTATCCAGTCCTCAAAACGCGGAGAAAACGTCCGACAAATGTACCACGATATCCTTGTATTGGCTCTCGGCGGAGGGAACGAGTACCACAGTCTGGAGTCGAACAGGACGAGACCACGATCCTGGAACAGAGTCGCTCCGCACACCCACACATCGACCGCCATGGAACAGCCTCGATTTATTTCAACAAACAAAAGAGAAATCGTGTGGAACTGATCACAGCGCATGACGCTTGGAATATTATTTTTCCCGAATATTGTTGTCATTCCTCTATCGTTTGCTACTGTTCTGACGTTCGATTTCCTACCTCAGGTACTACTCGGAAGTTCGTACCTAGTCGTGCACGACCTTCTGAGTGGTTGCGTCCCGGCTGCTCCGCAAGCGTGACGGCTCTTTCACTCGTGACGTCCGGTCTCTCGAAACGCTGTCTGCAACGGAATGCGCGCAAGTCGTGCACCGAAACGGTCCCATCCTCTTAGGTGATCAACAAATGAATCGTGCGTCTTTCGTCGGACAGTTCAGTCTACGTATTTCGTTGCTAGAAGAAGTGTTTGTAGCGTGTTTCGGCTAACTACTGATAGGATAGAGTCTGAGGTGAAGCTGCCGCGAGCGGCAGTTACCGTGTACGATGACGCACTGCTGACGGTGACCATCGGGTCGCGGGTCGGCCGCACCGGGTCCGCGGGCTGCCTCCTGACCGGGCCGGGTGTCACGGCAGATGCGCCGATCACGTCCGCGGCCGCCGGGTCGAGGTTTGCCACCAGGTCGGTGATAAGCCGGGCCGCCGGGTGAGCGCACTCCCCGTCGTGGAGTCGCACAGGAACGGTCCTGATGTCCCGAAAGGTGCCCCGCGCAACAGGAACGGCTGACTCTCTGCCACCGCCTTCTGCAAGCAGTGTTACTGCCACCGGGGGAGGGCGCTACGCGTGCAAAATGTCGAAACGCAGTGTGTGGTGTAACCCCAGGGATCGAAAAGGGCGAGACCATCAAGGCACAAACAGCGAGCCACGAACAGCAGAACCTATCGCATAACTCACTACACAAATGTACAATCTAATCAGCGTGTCTACGGTTAGGAACAAAAGCCAGACACAGCCCGAGTTCCGTCAGAACCAGTCATAGGAAAAATTCCACAGGATCCCTTTCAGGCACACGCGATAGCGGTAGCAACAGCGGCGGGACCACCAGCGTCAATGCTGCATCACTCACAGATCGGCGGAGCCCGGGACGCGACTCGCCAGGGGCCTCATGCGAGACGCCAGTGCCGGGAGACTTGAGTGGTAGTTAGCCGGGACACCAGTGCTTGCCAGGAGCAGCTGTTAGGCCGTTCTCGCGCCCATCTTGGCCAGTGCGCGGAGGTGTGCGGGAGTCCGACACTCAGGGTGAGCGGGCGGACGATGCCGCGCAGCGTGCAGGACGCTAACAACCTCGGCTGACACCAGCTGTGGATAGCACATCCAACCACGCGCGCACCGGGACAGCACAGCACAGCACAACAGGCCACTACTTGGCAACCAAAGCACCTGACCATCAACAGAGCCAAACTCAAGAGCTTAAATTCACGTCACTGGCAAGTCTACTTTCCCAAGAACGTGAAACGTCAATGACAAAAGGCAATGCTTCAGTGCACAGATCATACCAACATTAACAGAGGCGTTAGGACACGTTTTGACAGCAGCACAGCACACTCCCCATCACCATCGTGCATTCTAAGTGTAGTGGGGATGTTTTATTGCCATCACAAGGAGTGAGGATCCCTGAGGTTTGTCTCATTGTAACTCGTACCATTTTGTCTTGGCATTCTTAATACGGTATTTCATAGCCTTTGAAATAACGATACCCTCGGCAGTATATCGAAGGTGCTCTTTTCGGAATTCGTAAACGAAACTGTCCTAGTACTGTGCTAGAACACTAGCCTCTTACGTCGACCATGACTAGAGAAAGGTAAACACCTGCGGCTCGGGTCCGGGGAGGGGTCGCCAGGCCCCTACGACAGACGATGGCCGGAAGCGCACCGCCGCCGCCCTGCCCCACTCACTTTATTCCGTCTTTATCGACGTCTCATGGAACCAGCAGCTCCTGCGGCGCGTCCGCGATCAAAATGGCGGCCGGGCAGTACCTTGCCGACGTCAGGTGGCGCGCGCGTCCCTCGGCCAACATGGCCGCCAACGGTGACGTCACAAAGAAAGTGTAGCGTCTCGCTGACGTGGCGTGCCAGCCGGCGACGCCTTTCGTAACAGGACCAACCTAGGAGGAGCGCAAATGTCCATCGAAAGTAAAAAGGACTTCAACCAACTTCCTAGCAGTAAGGCGTTCAAGAATCACCCGGATGACACGAAATGAATGCAAGGACCTTGTCACAGCACTCAACACCTGATTGCAGCCACCATTTGAAGAAAAGTAGTGAGGCTTAACTACTTAGGGATACTTAGAGGATTACTTGAAAGTATTTCAACAAAATACTTATCCGACCTAGCGCCTTGCACTTCACAACTTAATGAAGAAAAAGCTACGTTACAGTACACTGAATGCAAGTTCACACACCACAACTAAAATTGAAACACCAAAATGTTAGCTCAAAAACTCAAAAAGCAAATCTTGATGGTTATGATCTTCTGGAAAAAAGAGCTAGCAAATAAGCTTAAATCGCAGCGAGACGGAGCCATCACTAGCACAACCGCACTGCCGGAGCACAGGTACGAGAATGGCGGCTCTGGCGAGGGACCCTGAAACCCAGCTATCTGCGTATCTGGGCCAAGCACACTCCCGAGCCTTCCAACCAATCAGCAGCCGGCGTCGCCCAAACGGCGGATGGTGATTGGTGGGAAATTATTGCGCAGTACCGTTTCCGACCACGACCGCTAGAGGCGCTTCGACTGCGGGTCGTGACGCAGCGTCGGTCGCATGACGCAACCGCCTGAACCGGAACAGTCCGCTGCAGACCGTGCCAGCGGCTCTCAAACCCACTCACAAAATTCCACTGAAGAAACCGGGCTGCTCCAGAAGGTTGAGAGCCACAAGAGAGTGGGCGAAACCGGTCCGTGGCGTCAGCTGCTCCGCCATCTTGTCGCCACCGCTGTATTGATCTGCCAGAAGGGAAATTTCCACGGTAATGGAACATTCCATGTAAAGATTGTGATCATGCATTTATTGAAAGCCAAACAACTTTACGTCCCTGACTTTCGCATCATGCAACGGACCAGAAACACTGGCGGATACAGGGACATGGGCAACATGACCCTATTTACCTACATACCTATGACTCGGTTTCTAAACACCACGCCTTACGCCTGTGAAAATGAGATATAAACACAAAACAATCAGTTCTGACGATTGCCACTGTCTTTAAAAGCGGCTTGATTTGCCTGTGCAGCATGCACACATGCAGATAAACTATCAAAGAAAATAGCGGCATGACATCGACAAAATAAAAAAAAAAAACGTTTTACCAAGAATGAATCCAGCAGCAGTGTTCAATTCCTTCTTAATGGATTCGCTAACGATGACCTTATCGACCCTGGGGTAAAGATGGTGGCATGTATGCAAAATTGACATACATAATCAAACTCCATGCAGCAACGTTTGTGATCTGGTTGATGAAAACAAAATTATTAAATAATCAATTGACTGATAGGCGGATCCGAGAAAGGCGGCTTCTGACGGGCATGCCTATCCCCGAAAGTAAAAAACTGATTGGATTGCGTTGCATTACGTGCATTGCTGTGTAGTTTACAGCAAAGTTTTCCTCATAAAAGTTTGTAAGTTTTCTTTCTATTCTAAAAAGAGAGATTTCATGGATTTCGGGCGTTGCGAGCGGGCATTTGCCTAGAATGCACCCTTGATCCGCCGCCAGTGCATTGGTTTGAAACAGCATAACGTGCATTGTTATGCTGTGCATATCTACCTCTATGTATGTATGCATGTATGTATGTATTTACGATCGTGGGCGATCCACCCATGGCGTGGCGGTATCTATACATATACATGCCTAAACCTATAAGTGCATAGGTACCTAGGTAAAGTACCTTTTTCACGTAGATAAAGAAATGTGCTGGTAAACACCCTCAGAAATGTGCAATGCCCATGCTTTGAGCGGAAATCTACGGAAAAGTTTTTTCTCGTTTTTTAAATCATTTCTGAAACACCTCTTTCTCCATCCGGCAGAACGCTTTGCAGTTTGCACAGTAGGTAGGTCTCCGTGGTGCGGCAGTGAGCGCCAGCCACCAGCGTCCCCGCCGCCATGATGGCATCCGACCTTTGTCGGCGTCCAAGGGCAGTCAGCTGATCGGCGCCACGGAGGCGGAGGCCGCTTTCACCCGAACCGACGCGGCGCGGCGAGCGGGCGAATGGCCCCGCGGCGCCGACGGGTGACGCCATGGCCAGAAGCTGGAATGCAGGCGCTACCATAGCCCTCGCCCCTCGCCAGGCGAGGGTCTTTTCCATAACACGGACGGCGAGGGGGGTTGGTACGACCCCCCGCCCCCTCGCGATTGACTCCTATGGCACTTAGAAACGCCAAATTCACAGGGTAGGTGGGTCCATAGGAGATCTCGCCCCTGTGGAAGTTTGGTGACTAAGTCAATATTTAGGGGGTTTTGGGGAGGGTATGAGTGCAAACAAATTGCTAAAACATGTCAAAAGTTTTTCGTTAATAACGTTTTACCTAGTAAAGATAGAGCAAAAATAAAAGCACCCGTGAACTCAGGACGTCCGTGCGCACCGAATGATATACTTTGTTACCAACCAATTTTAGTGAACTCTGGAATTCAGTTGCCGCCGTTTTTACGTTATTTGCGAAAACCCTTAAGGGGGGGGGGGGTTGCATCAATCCCCCTCGCCGGGCGAGGGCTAGGTGCTATAGCCAGGCTCTTATCGCCTATGCACTGACCATTATAATTGGTACCTATGCTTTCCGTATTCTTGCAATTTCTGAAATGTCTTATGGCACCCGTATTGTGGCGGTAACTTGTCAATTGTTTACACTGAACCCGCATAGGCGGCGGAACGGGGAGGGCACCGGGACACCGTGCCCCCTTTGATTTTGGGGGCACGGTGTCCCGGTGCCCCCAAAATCAAAGGGGGCACGGTGTCCCGGTGCAAAGGGGGCACTTGCAGAAACTGATATCACGTGTACCCCTGTATCAAACCTCGTTACCGTTGGCTAACCGTAAGCATCTTTTTGCAAAGGGGGCACTTGCCGAAACTGATATCACGTGTACCCCTGTATCAAACCTCGTTACCGTTGGCTATGATTCACGACCTAATTCATATCAGTCGGAGTGAATGAGCCTCTATTCAAAATGTGACCTCTTGGTGACCCTCGGTGACAATGATGGTGCGTGTTTCGACCTGTCTGGGTCTGAAGGAGGCTGACTCACGGCCTCGGAGCGGGCGTTGTGGGCGTCGGATGCGTCAGCGCGGCGTCCGGTGACGTCAGCTGGTGGACACGCTGCTATTTTGGGCACTGAACGCTGAAAAGTCAACAGAACGGTCTTACTGTCACAAGGCCGAGTACCTACAACACTAAAACAGCCAGCAAAATTGTGATAACCGCCAAAACTGATATGATAAAGTCAAATAAAAAGAGAACTGACATGGGTAGGTATAGTTCGTTTATTTTAAGTTTGCCCCTCACTGTAAACGTCTTTTTGAACACAGCACGAGAAGCTGAATTACTGAGAAAACTGGTTGGCGCACATTGATTTGACCAGATTTTACAGACGATCAAGTTCATCAATTTATTTACTATTTCACCGACTCATAGTTCGTATTTGCCAATACCTACAGGCTACAGCCCCACAGGGATAGACGACTTCTCAGGAATTATGTCTGAACTAATTAATAAATTGCACGGCGTTTAACATGCATAACGTTACATCGTCGGTGTTCACAACTTATTTTGGAAATATTTTTCATATCTCCAATACAATGTGCGCTTATCAGTTTTCTTTGTAATTCAGCTAGCAATTCTCGTGCTGTGTTCAAAGAGACGTTTACAGTGAGGGACAAACTGAAAAAAACGAACTATAGTACATCCCTGAATGAGGTCTTTATGATTAGGCTTCTTACGAGCATCTGTGGAAACATATTTGACAAATAACATTCGGAAACACTTCTATGCATACCTATTGCGAGATATCCGCCAGGGTACTTTTCGAAGCATTAACCCGCGCCCTGCTGGGGGGGGGGGGGTGTTTGAACACCCCCTTGTGGTTTTTCGCGAATATCTAAAAAACGGCGGCGCTCCCGTTTTTGGTACACCTTATCATACACCAGTATAACGCCTTTTGGGGGCGACTAACGGAGCGAGCGAGGGGGTGAGTCTTGCACGTGCGAAATTTCGAGGGGGTACCTCCAACTGACTTGTGCACGGCACCCTACTGACCGGTTTTAGCGATGTGCCAAATTTGAGCACAATCGGCCCAGCCGTTCTCGAGATCTGGGAGCGACACCCTGCACGTGCGCACGTGCAAAATGGGTCACAACTGACTTATGCACGGCACCCTACTAACTGGTCCCTAACCGTGTACCAAATTTGAGCGCCATCGGTCCAGCCGTTCTCGAGATCTGGAAACGACCCCTGCACGTGCGCACGTGCAGCAGCACCCCAACTCTGGCACAAGGATATGCAGTGCCTAGTGGGTGCCTACCTACATGCCAACTTTCAGCGCAATCGGCCAAGTACATACCGGGATATTGCAACAATTACAAAACTGACACCTCTTCGTTTTGCACGTGGCACGTGCATAAGGGGTCACCCACATGCATCGGGAATAGTCCAATACTTGGTAGAAGGAATGAAGCTACCCTACAAAAATTACCGCGTGTAAATCGGTCAAGTGGTTGCTGAGATATAAGCCTCGCAAAAGCGTCCGCGCGGCCGGCCGGCCGCTCATACTCAGAAATTTCCGTTAATCTAAGGAAAGACTCCGCTCGCTTCGCTCGCTCCGTAATCAATTCTACACATGTTGTGAAAATTTCAGACCAAGGTCATTCAAGATCAGGTCACCAGGTCACTTGAACTGACCTCACCTCATAAAAAGTTTCAATGTCTGTCATAGCTACACCGAGTGACCGATCGCTTTGAAACTTTCAGCGATTGCTAAGAGCAATAGCACGTACAAAATGTATATCGCAGAATTTTTATATCGATGACCTAAGGTCAGGTCAATTTTGCGACCTCCCCATTATAAGTCAATGGGAGAAAATTGAAATGCGCCTCTTTAGGACGAAAGACATTATAAACACTCCCAAACACTGAATTACAAGTGGTTTAGACACACTGAACATGAAAATGGTGTCCGTGACCCCTGTTTATGCCCTGAGGTCATCTTAGGTCACGAATGGTATCTAACAGTTTTTTGCAAATTACTTTTGATAGAGGCATGCTAGAGCGATGAAAACGCATTAGATGTGTTCAGCTCGACGATACGGATCGACTGATATGCAACATGACCCTTTCAGGTCAGGTCATGACCTTGACCTGAGGTCAAATTTCAAGTTGACCTTCAAGGTCAAGTTATAGTTCATTCGATGCGTCTTGACGAGAGGAACACGATGCCGGTAAAAGTAACCTCGTGCAAGGCTTGGGTCAAAAGTTATTGCAGAAAAACTGTTTCCGAAAAAATCGGCTATTTTGCAGTTTTGCCCCCTGTAGGCAAAACCGTTGACGTTAGGTCAAATCTGAGAGAATTGGGCTATCGAATGCGCTTTTCCGCGGCGCTGTAGCTCAATTGGTTCCCGAGTATGCGTTGGCATCTTGGAAATTGTCGACATTCGACATGGAAATCGGCGAAATTTTGCCTTCAATGACCTCTGGTGACCTGACCTTTGACCTGACCAAAAAATTGACCGAAGTGATTTCGTCATTATTTTTGACGCTCTTTCGAACGCCTTCTTCCGCGTATCGCTACGTGGCCCAGGCCGAGTTAGAAGGGTGGTGGTGGTGTTCAAACACCCCCCTCCCCCAGCAGGGCGTGGGAATCCAGAACCCCCAGCCGGGCGCGGGTTAAATCCCGAGCGCACCGCCCTGGCGGAAACAGACTCTTTCCGCTTTCAAGAAATCGCATGCGAGAGCAAATTCAAATGTACTCGTATTATAATTCTGCCCGCATCAATCGCATGCGGGAGCACGTGCGTTTGATGCGAGCGTGCTTCCATGTATTTGAATAGGGTTTCGCATGCGATTCCTGACTGCGGAAAGAGTTTGTTTCAGGCTTGAGCTAATCGGGAAAGTTTTCAAATACATGAATTTGAATACCTACCACAAACTGCTGAAAACAGGCCCAAGATTCGTCTTCCTGCTGCAACCACCGCGCAGACAGCGAAAACACCAAAAACATGCGACCACTTGCACTGGATCTGGATGTTTCCGGCACGACCCGCAGTTGGATCGAACCTGTCTTCATGACGCTGCCAGCGGCGACTGTGGAGAGAGAGAGAGAGAGAGCGAGATAGAGAGAGAGAGAGAGAGAGAGAGAGAGATAGAGAGAGAGAGAGAGAGAGAAGAGAGAAGGAGAGAGAGAGAGAGAGAAGAGAGAAGAGAGAAAGAGAGAGAGAAGAAGAGAGAGAGAAGAGAGAAAGAGATAGAGACGAGACGAGAGACGAGAGACAGAGACGAGAGACGAGAGACGAAGACGAGAGCGAGAGACGATAGACGAGAAGAGAATAGAGAGAGAATAGAGAAGAAGAAGAGATAAGAGAGAAAGAGAAATATAGAAAAGAAAGAGAGAGAGAGAGAGAGAGAGAGAGGAGATAGAGAGAGAGAGAGAGAGAGAGAGAGAGAGAGAGAGAGGGAGAGAGAGAGAGAGAAAGGTAGGGGTAAAAACACGTTCGCATTTTAGCAATAATGCACATCTTTGAGCGTAATTCATACGGGGAAGTTTGCTTTGAGGAACGATATTCATCATTACACTCATTTTGTTACACTCAGCTACATTCCTCACGCTAAGTTGCTCACATTTTCTTACTTAAGCGACTAGACAAGCGTATTACTAAACGCATAAACTCATTTTGCCCACCCAGTATGCAACAATTAAAGACAAAACATAACAGTAAAGCGCCTTTTGGGGAGACCGACCGAGTGAGAGAGAGAGCGTGGGCCTTGCAGATGAGGCATTGCAAGGGGTACTTCCAACTGGCTTGTGCACTGCAACCTACCAACCGGTCTCTAGCGATGTGCCAAATTTGAGCGTGATGGGCACGCCGTTCTCGAGAAGGCACCTTTGACCCTATTTACCATTCCCTAATCATGTACCAAATTTCAGTGCAATCGGTTCAGTCGTTCTCAAGATCTGGAAACGACTCCTGCACGTGCGCACGTGCAGCAGAACCCCAACAGTGGCACATGGATTGGATATGCATTGTCTGGTTGGTGCCTAACTGCCTACCTACACATCAAATTTAAGCGCAATCGGCACAGTAGTTACCAAGATATTATGACAACTTTTCAGAAACACAACGAAACCAATTTCACCAAATCTGTACCAAGTCTACACGTCATCTACATCAAACGTATCCCTGATGGCCTTCGTGAAAACGGCTATCATTCACTAATCCATGTGACACCACACACTCCCTCACAACTTACGCAAAAATTGTCTTTCCTTCACAGTAAGCCGTTGAACCCAGTCCAAATTCGTCAGAAGTCACACTTGCGTAGCTCTTCCCATAATCTTCATATCCATGCGAGCTACTGTCGGTCTGGTTTGAACAGTGAGCGTACATGGAAGATGCCTCCGGGCCGAGCGATATTAGATCGTAGTAGTAGACAAACTGGGCCATGGCGACCCAGAAGAAAAGCAGAGCAGACTGGCCGTTGAGAATGGTGACCAGATAGCCAATGCCTGTGGGAGAGAGAGAGAGAGAGAGAGAGAGAGAGAGAGAGAGAGAGAGAGAGAGAGAGAGAGAGAGAGAGAGAGAGAGAGAGAGAGAGGAGAGAGAGAGAGAGAGAGAGAGAGAGAGAGAGAGAGAGAGAGAGAGAGAGAGAGAGAGAGAGAGGAGAGAGAGAGAGAGAGAGAGAGAGAGAGAAGAGAGAGAGAGAGAGCGGAGAGCGGGAGAGAGGGAGAGAGGAGAGAGAGAGAAAGAGAGAGAGAGAGAGAGAGAGAGAGAGAGAGAGAGAGAGAGAGAGAGAGAGAGGAGGTCAAACCAAAATGAAATTCACGCATTATACTAGGAAGCTGACAATAGTAAATGTAGTGTAACGGTTTAGCACATACTACAGTGTTTAGCTAACTTTTTGGTGATAAGGTAGGTAATTAGCTGACTTAAGAATCAAATTAAAAACATTGATAGAATAAAGTTAAAAACACATCTTTTAGATTTCATACCTTGATCAGTAGGGTCACAATCAATTAAATATATTAGTCGTGCAGAAAAAAAACAATTGACATAAAACTGGATCATAATGTGCTATTAATTGCGTCGCAATTTAGGTATGTAATTGGTAGAACATTAACCCGAGAGTTGCTGGGGGGGGGGGGCGTTTAAACGCCCCCACTTTTTTGGCTGGGCCATAGCATAAAAACGGCGCCGCAGGCGCGCCAAATTTTGAGTACCTGTAGGGAATTGATTGAAGTTTATTGTGACAATGTTAAAAAAAAATCGGTCGGATTTTTTTTTTTTAGATATCGAGGTTTTAGTGACGTCATGATTTCTGAGTTTTCGACCAAAAACGGCATAGGTTCAAAAAATCATATAAAATCACAGAATAGACATACCTACAGACATGCCGTAAGCGCCATTAGACTGCCAATACCATGAACAATCAAATAACGGTCTTCGATTATTGATTATCGTTCAGCATTTTCCAAAATCTTGAACTGAATCTTGGCAATTTCTCGTGACTACTTCACGACCATTATACATGCATTTCTTTGAAGTTGTTTTTGAGCCAAACACGTACACATATGATAAAATGAATATCACCATCGTGTTCTACGCCCCAAATTACCCATCGAACATGTGTCACAGACTGCGAATATCAGTTTTGATTTTCGGGGATATGTGCCTACCCGGTTGACCTGACCTTGACCCTGACCTATGCTTGATTGACCCCTACATGGAGCTGACACTCTTTTAGGCCTTAACCCGACAGTTGCTGGGGTATTTCGCCACCCACCGTTTGCTGGGGGAGGGGGGGGGGCGTTAAACGCCCCCAGCCGATAACTCGAGAACCAATAGGCGCAGCGAAACGCACGAGGCGGCAAACGAAAGAACGCGACGAGACGCTTCAGATGAGTACTTTAAAGTTGAATTTTGAGGTCACAGGTCGGGTCAAGGTCAGGTCAAACACCTGAAATCGGGCTTTCAGTAGCATGGACTTCAGGACTTCGCAATGGGCGCCTCTCGTCATAAACTCTGTCAAAACGGTGCACAATCCATCATATAAGGCCTACAAGAGTGTCAGCTCCATGTAGGGGCTAGTCAAGCATAGGTCAGGGTCAAGGTCAGGTCAACCCGGTAGGCACATATCCTCAAAAATTAAAACTGATATTCGCAGCCTGTGACACATGTTTTAAGGGGTAATTTGGGGCGTAGAACACGATGGTGACATTCATTTTATCATATGTGTACGTTTTTGGCTAAAAAAGTTCAATTTAAGAAATGCATGTATCATGGTCGTGAAGTAGTCACGAGAAATTGCCAAGATTCAGTTTAAGATTTTGGAAAATGCGGAACGATAATCAATAATCGAAGATAGCCATTTGATTGTTCATGGTATTGGCAGTCTAATGGCGTTTACGGCATTTCTGTATGTCTATTTTGTGATTTTATATGATTTTTTGAACATATGCCGTTTTTTGTCGAAAAGTCAGAAATCATGACGTCACTAAAACCTCGATATCTCAAAAAAATTTTCGACCGATTTTTTTGAAACTTTGTCACAATAAACTTCAAGCAATTCCCTACAGGTACCCAAAATTTGGCGCGCCTGCGGCGCGCCGTTTTTATGCTATGGCCCAGCGAAAAAAGTGGGGGCGTTTAATGCCCCCCCAGCAACTCGCGGGTTAACTGATGGATTGTGCACGGTTTTGACAGAGTGTATGACGAGAGCCGCCCATTGCGAAGTCCTGAAGTCCATGCTACTGAAAGCCTGTTTGACCTGACCTTGACCCGACCTGTGACCTCAAAATTCAACTTTAAAGTACCCATCTGAAGCGTCTCGTCGCGTTCTTTCGTTTGCCGCCTCGTGCGTTTCGCTGCGCCTATTGGTTCTCGAGTTATCGGCTGGGGGCGTTTAACGCCCCCCCCCCCCCAGCAAACGGTGGGTGGCGAAGTATCCCAGCAACTGCCGGGTTAAGAAAAACGTTAAGCAAAGTGGTTGGGATTCACATTAATGAACGTTTTGTTTCTCCCGTCATTACGTCTGTGTGACGTAGAGGCATGTATTTGCAGCTGAGTTAACGAAAAAAAAAAAACATAACAATGCCAGTGTAACAAGGTTTGGTAACATTGTATCATTGTATAATGTACCAGTAAAACGCCTTTTGGGCGAAGAACGAGCGAGCGAGATAGTGAGCCCTGCACGTGCGGAAGGGCGAGAGGGTACTTCCAACGGGCTTGTGCAAAGCACCCTTCTAACCGGTCGCTAGCGGTGTGCCAAATTTGAACGCAATCGGCCCAGCGGTTCCTGAGATCTGGAAGCGGCATTCTGCACGTGCGCACGTGCAAACGGGGTCCAAAATGACTTTTGCACGGCACCCTACTAACCGGTCCACAACCGTGTACCAAATTTGAGCGCAATCGGCCCAGCCGTTCTCGAGATCTGGAAACGCCCCCTGCACGTGCGCACGTGCAGTAGCACCCTAACCGCAACACATGGGAATGCATTGCCTGGTGGGTGCCTACCTGTATGCCAAGTTTCAGCGAAATCGCCCCAGTAATTACCGAGTTACTGAAATGGGAACAAATTTGGCACCTCTTCTTTTTGTATTTTGCACGTGCAGTGGGGGTCACTCACATAGATGAAGAGTATCCGACCTTTGGTAGAAGGGATGCAGCTACCCCATGGTGTGTCAAAAGTGGAAATAGCCGCCCGGCTTTAGTTCGCCAGCCTTGTCAATAGATGGCAGTACCACAATATGGGCAGCGGATCGTGCAATTGACGTCAAATTTTCGTTATCTGCTAAGAATTGAATGGCGGATCTTTTCATGCAAGAATCAAGTAAATCGGTCCACAACTTTTCTAGCAACAGAGATATGAAGTCAAACACCCTGCCAGAGCGGCGGCGCGGCGGCCGGCCGCGTGCCTGGGAGCCTGGCGGCGCTGAACGGTTCAGACTTGGCACTGCACTAAAACCTGTTAACTGCTTGGAATAGTTATTTTAGCAAAATTTTCATTCAAGTGAGGAATAACCAAGGGCAGGAAGCATGCATGCTTGTGTGCGTACTGTGTAATTCAAGAAACTGCATTAGCAGATACTCGCTAATATTAGATCCAGCCAAGTCCAAACGCATTCAAGGGGATGTGATTCTGATGGGTCAACAATATTTATCGTTCGAGGGCGGATACAGTTTTAACAATACACAAAATATTTTTGCACAGCTCTATTCCTTGAATAATTCTCTTCAACTCCTCATTCCTAGTTAAGCGAATTAGCCCACCTTGGTTGAATAAATAAGGCGATTTCGCCACAAGGTCGCGGAAAACCGACCGAAAACGGCCGCGCTCAACGTTAATTTGGGCATGCAGACTCTTAAAAACTCGCATTGGGCGGGTAGGGTTTCCCAGGTATTGGCTCCAAAACACCGTATTCGGCTCCCGAATACGTCCAAGTGACCCGCTTCGTTCCTAGTTAAGCTCTAATTAGATCAAGTGACTCATAAGGAGCGAAAAAGCGACAAAAAGCATGAATTTCCCTATGACGGCGGGCTGCCGGGTTGCCAGACGGCGCACCGGCTATTTCCACTTTTGACACACCATGCTATAAAAATTACCGCAAGACAATCGCTCAAGCCACTGCTGAGATATGGGCCTCTAAAAATCAGTACTTTTGCAAAACTGCTCGAACACCCTTGACTTTTCACGTGGCACGTGCCACGACGGTCACTGAGATGGATCAAAAGTAGACAATTACGGGGTAGAAGGGATGGGGCTACCCAACAAAAAAGACCGCAGGCCAATCGGTCCAGCGGTTGCTGAGATCAGGCCCATGTCACTTCACTTTTGATGACATCATAAGGGGGTCTCAGGACAATTAATGGCGCGGTGCGCCACAATCGCTGCCAAGCTACTTGCCAACAGCTAGTGTTTTTGAAAATATTATTTTTAAATAAAGTTTCAAATAATAAAAATATTGTAATAAAGTTGTAACTTAAATCTGTAACATATTTAAAAACTTACTGAAAAATGATTTATTCATAGTAAAAATATAAGCTCGATGCATTTTTACGTTGCTTTCCTGCTGCTGCAGAGGGTTCTTAAATCGTCTATATCTTCAAAACCGGCCATTTCTTAGCATATTGCTGCTCTTTTTTGTCGCTAGAAAATTAGTTTGGCTTTCCATTGACATCAACGGTTGAGCGGTATGTGGAGATTGCCATCAATAATCTTCAAATGAAATTAGTCATTTTTACGTTGCAAAGGAATGGAGTACCCCTTGCGAGCATCAGGGATGACGTCACTCAGGATCTGTCTCTGATTGGTCGGCGGGGGAGTGACTGTACCTTCTATAGATGGCCTTGGCTGAGATATAAGCCTCTCAAAAGCGTTACAGGCCGGGCTGGGCCAGGCCGGGCCGCTCATACTGAGATTTTTCCGTTATATTGAAAAGACTCGCTTCGCTCACTGCGCTCACTCGCTCGTAATAATACGCTGATGACCTACCTGGCAGTTCTCCTTGACAGTGCTCAGTTCCCCTTGGCATAATCTTTGATAATTTTCCATCTGCACCCATATTCTTGGTAAATTCACATACCTTTGAACAGCGGAGCTATGTTCCAGGCGCACCATGTTCCTCGTCCGGAAAATTGTCCAACTCCAACTTCCAATAGAAGCATTGGCACGCCAATCAGAGCCAAGAATATCAGAAGCAGTGGTAGAAATATAAAACCTGTAAAAAAGCGCACACACGCAAGCGTAAACAACTACCAAAATAGGGAACAATAGACGTGCTAACAAGGCTTCTCATGCTGGTGGCACACGTATGGTCACCAGGGTTGTGCTCGACTCAAAAAAATTTGCCGACTCGACTCATCATTCAACTTCAGAATGCCCTGACTCAACTCTGACTCAAACAAGGAGCTGATTTTTTCCCCTGACTCGACTCATGACTCAAGCGGCTCAATGAAAATATGAGTTGACTCAAACTTGACTCAATTTTTTTTGTTGAGTCAAGTGTGTTGACTCAAAATTGACTCAGATAAAAAAGTTGTTGAGCGGGGGGGGGGAGGGGGTGAAAAAATCCGGCAGCAGGGCCAGGCCTAAGTTGTTAAGCGGGGGGAGAATGAAAAACTTATACTATATATTGTTTCTAGAAAGTTGAGTCAGCTGACTCAAGTTGCTAAATGTTTTTGACTCAACTCAATGTCAAAAGTTATTTTACTGACTCAACTCTGACTCAACTCAACACCTAAATATTTTTGTCCGACTCAACTCTGACTCAACTCAACAGCTCAACATTTTATCCGACTCGACTCAAATCTGACTCATTTGAGTCAGAGTTGAGTCAAATTTCTGACTCGACTCATGAGTCAAGCACAACCCTGATGGTCACCACTCACCAGACATGTGCATGGATCCGAGAAAATGGATCTGAGATCTGATCCAACGGATCCTGATTTCGGATCCGGCGGGATCATAGATCCAGCTCTGTATATTTAATCGAGAGTAGGGATCACAGATCCGAGTTTAATTTTTTGATTGAGATCCAGGGAGATCATAGATCCTCACTTAATTTTTGTCAACACATATATCCCAAAAAAGCACTTGTTTCAACTCACAAACGTTCTGTTTTAGTGATTTTATGTGATCGCACGTCATAAACCATAGTTTTGTGTCACTAATTGGCATAGAAACACTTTAACCCGCGCCCCACTGGGGTCTGCGTATAACACGCCCTACGGGGGGGGGCTATTCATAGCCCCCCCCTCCTAGCTCCGAAACTACTGGGCCGATCGTCAAAATTCAAACGGCGTCTGATAGCCCCGGAAAAACTGTCGAGCGAAACCTACTTTCATTGACCTCGAGGTCACCGATGACGTCACAGGTCAGGTCAAAGTAAAAATTATGAGCATTTTGGCTTCTTCACGTTTTGGGCTCTGGCCGCCGTTTTACAAGTCAGATCAGGCTCATTTTTGGTTCACACACTCGTGAACAGATGCTCTAGATACTCTGAGAGTACCAAACTTGTACTTTGATTTTCAGGTCAAGGTCAGGTCATCACAGGTCACGAAAACATTATATCATCCGTCGGTCACGTGACACATGTTTTAAAGTCCATTTAGGCCAAAAATTTCGAATTTGATGTCGTCTGTGTCATTCGCGGTCATTTTGAGTCAAATTTAGCTTAGGTCAGGTCACTTTCAGGTCAAAAAATGTCAAATTTTGAAATTAAAATTTTTCAACAAAAAAAGGTGTCTATTGGATGCAGTTTGAGCTCAGGAACACGATGGTGCTATTTATATTGGCGTACGATGTCAAATTCGTGCTGAAAAATTGATTTGAAAATTAATAATTGTTAATTTTTTGCAATAATGCGTATAACTTGGGCAATTTTGAAGATAGTTACCTAAAACTTGCTAGAGTTAGTCATAATAATGCGTTCTATTACATATATTCCGTTTTTTCGAAGAGTGAAAAAAATAAAAAATGTAGAAATATAAATTTTGAAGTTAATTATATAAGATTTTCGAAATTTTCAAAATTTCGAAAATCCGAGACAGCAGTTTGATAGCGCAGTCTATTCTGAGTCCTCTCATGAAAAGAAATTGGATCTAGCTTAAAAGTTGAGCTCTTGGCAGCGATTGCCGTGGTTCAATGTTTTGCGTCGAAATCGGCCGAACATGACGTCACTCTGACGTCATTTGCGGCCGACCTATGGTAGGTACGAAGTTCAAATTTTGACACAAGGTGTCAAATTAATGCAGCCGAAGGTACTAGAAGTTTGGCGTCGATACGTCAAGCGATTTGGAAGTTATTGCAGAAAAACTGGAGGGGGGCTATAAATAGCCCCCCCCCAGTGGGGCGCGGGTTAACCCGCGCCCGGCTGGGGGTCCTGGATTTCCACGCCCTGCTGAGGGGGGTGTTTGAACACTCCCGTAGAACGCTCCTGGGCCACGTAGCGATACGCGGAAGGCGGCGTTCGAAAGAGCGTCAAAAATAATGAGAAAATCACTTCGGTCAATTTTTTGGTCAGGTCAAAAGTCAGGTCACCAGAGGTCATTGAAGGCAAAATTTCGCCAATTTCCAGGTCGAATGCCGACAATTTCCAAGAAGCCAACGCATAACTCGGGAACCAATAGAGCTACAGCGCCGCGGAAAAGCGCATTCGATAGCCCTATTAACGCCCTTTCTGAGTAATTTTCTCAGATTTGACCTAACGTCAACGGTTTTGCCTGCAGGGGGCAAAAACTGCAAAAATAGCCGATTTTTTCGGAACAGTTTTTCTGCAATAACTTTTGACCCAAGCCTTGTACGAGCTTATTTTTACCGGCATCGTGTTCCTCTCGTCAAGACGCATCGAATAAACTATAACTTGACCTTGAAAGGTCAACTTGAAAATTTGACCTCAGGTCAAGGTCACGACCTGACCGGAAAGGGTCATGTTGCAATCAGTCGATCCGTATCGTCGAGCTGAACACATCTAAGGCGTTTTCATCGCTCTAGCATGCCTCTATCAAAAGTTATTTGCGAAAAACTGTTAGATACCATTCGTGACCTAAGATGACCTCAGGGCATAAACAGGGGTCACGGACACTATTTTCATGTTTAGTGTGTCTAAACCACTTGTAATTCAGTGTTTGGGAGTGTTTATAATGTCTTTCGTCCAAACGAGGCGCATTTCAATTTTCTCCCATTGACTTATAATGGGGAGGTCGCAAAATTGACCTGACCTTAGGTCATCGATATCGAAATTCTGAGATAAACATTTTGTACATGTTATTGCTCTTAGCAATCGCTGAAAGTTTCAAAGCGATCGGTCACTCGGTGTAGCTATGACAGGCATTGAAACTTTTTATGAGGTGAGGTCACTTCAAGTGACCTGGTGACCTGACCTTGAATGACCTTGGTCTGAAATTTTCACAACATGTGTAGAATTGATGTATGATAAAGTGTACCAAAAACGGCGGCGCAGATATTCGCGAAAAACCACAAGGGGGGGGGTGTTCAAACACCCCCCCAGCAGGGCGCGGGTTAAAACATGGTTTCAAAGGTGGTGCCTGTGGTGGGATCCACTCAGATCATAGATCCATGTTCTTAATAGTTATCGTCAGATCATATGAGATCATAGATCCAAGATGTATTTTTCACGCCGGATCCGGTGGAATCATATATCTCAACCTGTACTTTGCTTCGAGATCCACTGAGATTTTAGATCCATCACTCGGATCCATGCACATATATTCTGATGGTCACATTCGACGCAGAACTGGTACAAGGCTCATAGTTGCTTATCGGTGGTTTTCAGCTTAGGCTGCACTAGCTGCTTATATACCCAACCTTCGGATACCTATTACCTGAATCATAAAGCTAGCAGCAGGGTTGTATACCAATCAAGTCGATTGAATTGATTGATTTGATTCAACGCGTATTTTGAGTTGATTGGATTGAGTCGATTGACTTTTCGAGATGACTGGTTGACTGACTCGTTTGACTTTAGCGACTGGTTGACTGATTTGATTCCCGAAAATTAGAGTGACTCGTATGATTGAGTCGATTGAATGGAAAGTTCAAATAAGTTTTAGTTGACGAAAAATAATGACACCAATTGATGACATCAAAGATCACAAAACTACACTGAAAACTGCTTGTCATCACAACTGCAATATGGGGTAGATGGCCAAATAAAGAACAGGGCCTAAACATGAACAGCCAACTTTGACTTTCAACTGCAATAACTGCTCCAATCCTGTGATAGAACCTGGCGATGCACCTACCTACCTTTCTGCACTCAGCTGAGTCAGCAGGAAACTTTTTTTTAATCCAGATGATAAAGTGCAAGGCCCTCTATACTAATAAAGTGTGATTAATTATTAATTCACATCTCCATATCTCCTCAGAAACAATCCACTGAGCTCTATAAATAATCTGAAACCCACCTGAAACCCCTACAAAAATAACTGAAACAAAAGCGCCGTTTTCGTCTCGCTAATTACGTTTAAGTCTAATTAATAGCTAATTTGCTGCATTGTTTAATTTGCAGCAGAACGTTTGTTGATCCTTTTCTCCTGAGAGCCTAAGCATAACATATTTAATATATTTCATTTTCCTTAAAAAATTTTACCGAATATTATTAAGTGGTTTTATTTCAAATGAAATAATAATGAAAACGAAATTGGTGTTGTACAACCGATTTATTTTATGATGATCTACCATACTACATGATAATCAATGACGTCATCTTACCAAAAAATCAAAAGACGTAGAATAAGGATTTATAAAAGCTTAGCATACTTATTGGCAAAACGTTTGCTTTGTTTTTTTTTTCGCAGTCGCACTGTGCCGTTTTCGCGTTTTAATTTGAATTTTCCTTGTTCCTACTTCTTTTGTCCTTAAAGGGACACTCCCACCTTAACATTAGTTTTGAGTTGAGATAGCCAAATTGGTGGCCATGGCCTGCAAATACCGGTTTGGGCACTCACAACATCGACAAATGCTTTAATTCGGAGATATGGAATTTCAAACTTGCAGTTTTCGGATTCTAAGGGGCTAGTGCATTGGTATGCCCCCTTAGAATTTGTGACGTCAGCGGAGATCTAACGATTTTTAAATCTTTCACTAAAACGTTTGGTAGCACGCGGTGGTATATGCTGCTTTGCGCGCAACAAATGCCGCACTTTCAAATAAAGTCGCTAGGAACAGCGGAGATCCCAAAAAGTAAACAAAAGTAAAAGTCTAATATCTTGAAAACCGGTGAATATTTTTCGATGAAATTTGGTAGATATTCGTTTTCGCTCTTTCTGAACCGAGCGACATCACTTTCGTGCCAATTCATTAACTTTTTTGAAGGTGGGAGGGTCCCTTTAACTTATCCTGTGGTTCCAGAGTCCCTGTCCTTTCCATTTCCTTTTAAATATATTTTTAATGCTCATCCCTATCCCCCAGTCCTAACAGTTTCAAATTGTATTGCAATAAAATGTTTTGAATTCTTCACATATAACCTATCTACCTTCGTTGGTACTGTTGGTAGCCAGTGACACATCTAGACACATCTAGGCAGGTAAGTAGGTACCTACCTGCTTTCCTGCTGTCTTCATAAAGCATACCTAATGAAGCTGTCAAATTTGTAGCACATTTTCAACACTTTCATATGGTGTCAGTGTGGCATGAAACCTAGCTAGGTTCATTATGTTCAGGGTTCAATTCAGAAGAGCTCCGCATAACTCGCATAAGAGACAGACGGGGGCTTTACATGGGGTAGATGGCCTGATGACTTAGCTGGAATATGGCCAAAATTAAATTGACAACTTTTAGGTGAAAGGTGGTGATTTGGGTTAAGGGGCGTTTGTTGAAGTCAACTACTGGGTTATTTTGCACCCATTAAATGAAACTTCTGCTCCAATTCTACCCATTGAACCTCAATATCATGATCCACCTGTCCATCACTAGATATCCTTCCTTATTACATAGAAACTTTGAATGGCATGGCAATTTATAATTTTAAATGACAATATTTTTATGTTTCTTCTGTAGGTAGGTAGGTAGGTAGGTAGGTACACCAGACTGCTATGGACACTTTTCCAAGTTGGTGGGGCAAAAAACCTAATGTATATCTTGGTTTGAGTCGTTTGATTGAGTTGATTGATTCCTTTCATTGTCGCGTTTGAGTCGATTGAATCAATTCCCGAAAACTGCTCTGACTTGATTGATTTGATTGGTTTCCCAAATTTGTCGTGATTGAATTGATTGCTATTGATTGAGTCGTATACAACCCTGGCTAGCAGACAGTATTTTCGATTAAAACATTGCTAATAATTCATGCAATGAAGAAATTTGCTTTAACCCTCGCCGGCACAGGCCATTTTGAGTCCTTCGACGGCACAAGGGGGGGGGGGGGTTGGTACGACCCCCCCTCGCGTTTGGCCCTGATCGAGCTAGAGCTTCGCGGAAAAAACGAGCGTGTTGCCCGTCACGAGAGGAAGCCGATGATACCCAATTTTAAGGTCCTAGGTCATCGGGTGACCTTCCAGGTCAGGTCAATGACCCGAAAACCGGGAAAATCGGGACCTGTTAGAAAGTCGTAAAGTGTGGCTGCTATGTGGTTTTCCGGGGTGCTGGTCACGAATATCGTGTTAGTTTTGATCTGAGATGATGCCTTTAAGCATTTAGACCAGGTCGGGTCAGGTCAGGTCAGGTCAACCGGTAGGGGCTGTGACGGGTATTCGCAATACGTGTCAACCGCCTCGGACAGCTTCGTAACATGTTACGAAGGCACCAAAACCACTTCGTAAATGTTCAAATGGTTGCTAAATTCGAATTCAGCTCCAAAAACTAGCCTAGAAACATGTAAAACTCGAACAAGTGAACCGAGGTCACCCGAGGTCACCAAAGGTCAATGACCTGACCTGACCTTCAGGTGACCTTGACACCCACCCTAATGATTGGAGCAACATCAAATCACATGTTTGAACGTTTGAAACCACGAAAAGCTTGCAAACGCGCGGCTAATGCGAGCCGACATGCGCCGAACCGCGATTTCGGCCAAACATGGTCACAGAAAAGAGGTCACAGGTCAAAGGTCATTGGGGTCAGGGTCATGAAATTTTCAGGGTAGGTGTAAAATTGATCAATGCGAGGGTACTGAAAGTTTCGTCGCGATCGGCCGCTTTTTACGCGAGTTATTTGCGAAAAACCTTAGGGGGGGTTGCATCAACCCCCCCCCCCTGTGCCGGCGAGGGTTAAAAATATTTCCTTAGATTTGATAATGTTTGGTACATTCGCTAGATAATCCTGTCGTGAAAACGGCCAGTAAAGGGCATATCAATACGCCTGTGACTTTCAAAGTAGGCATTAGCGGGAAAAGATAAAAGAATACCCCACTCAGCGGCTTCCGGTTCTATGCTCAGCCACATAGGGAGGGCTCAGGAGACAGACGACGTCATAGGGTGTCAACGTTTTGTCGATTTTAAAGGGACTATCCCACCTTTAACATGGGGTTTGAGTTGAGATAGCCAAGTTTGCGGCGAGGTTCAGAAACCACTATCTATCTAGGTTGCAACCCCCGCGGCCTCTTGGTGTTGAAGAAATTCGTTCCCTTCATTTGAAAATGGGCCTTGTGCAAGGCCCTATCTTCAACATGGAGCGACCGTTAGTGTGACGTCACCTCGTTTAGTCATTCTGATTTAAATGGGTTTGTTCGTTGAAAAATCGCTTAAAACTTGGTCTGAACTTTTTTGTGGTGCCTACAGAGTAAAAAGAATCAGCTTTATGACAGTAATGTGGCCTGGGGAAGGAGGTAATTTTGGGCTGTGACGTCACATATTTGAAAGTTTGTGCTTGGAATATGGGAAGCCTAAGATGTTCAATGAAAAATAAATGCCAGAACCGTGTTCCTGGTCATCCAATCTATAAAGTCGGGCACAATTTAACTGGTTTTAACAACAATTTTAGAAGGTGGGATAGTCCCTTTAAAGACATTGCTGTGCCGCAAATAATTTTCTAGGGCTTTAACGGCAGCCAAAGGTTAACCCGCGCCCCGCTGGGGTCTGCCGAGCAACGCGCCCTGCTGGGGGGGGGGGGGTAATTTGCCCCTCTCCCAAGATCTCGAGAACCACACAAATGGCGACGAGCGGCAAACGGCGTTGGATAGCCCCATCAAGGAACTACCTTATGACCCAATTTCATTGACCTAGGCCAAACCGATGACGTCACAGGTTAGGTCAAAGGTCGAATTTTCACCGTTTACAGGCATTTCAAGAAATGCGTTGTAAAATCGAGTAAAATGCATTTCATTGAAAATGATCGATGGGAAAATGTGCGTCAAACACAAGTTTTGCTAGTTGAGGTCACTGATACCCGGTCAGGTCACAGATGTCAGGTCACTGAGGGTCACAATATGAAAATATCATGTGATGCATGTTTTATGGTTTATTTTATATTACAAATGCGATTATGTGGGTCGTCAGGCAGCCTTTGGGGTCAGTTAAGATTATGTTCTGGTGAAAGTCAGGTCAAGGTCAGGTCAAGGTCAGGTCAAATTAGGTCAAATTTCAAAGTTGACATTTTTGCATAAAATGGGGGGTATTGATTCGATGTAGCTCGTCACGGGGTGTTAAATGGTGGTCATTGTTATGCGCTACCTGGTCTAGAATTGCTAAAAAATTGAGTTCAAAAATATGAGGTCATCAATCTTGAATAGTTTTTTTTTTTCGCTAAAACTTGGCCAAAAAGGAGGTATCGATCTGAAAATTGGTATGTATATAGAAGAGCGCAGGGACTATCACACATATATTCCTTTTTTCGAAATTCGTATTTTTTGGGATTTTTATGCGTTTTTCTGAAAAAATCAATTTATTTGAATTTTTGGGGGTCAAAAACCCAAAATTTTGAAAATCAGAGATGGCAATTTTCTAGCGCCGCTTTTTTTACATGACAATATAAAGAACTTTGAAATTGCTTGGTAACTGTAGATTTTGTGAGCGTTTCAAGCTTTCATGTTTTTTGCTCATTTTTGCTCGAACATGACCTCAGTTTGACATCACTAACTCCTGACCTAAGGTGACCTAAGACTTGAAATTTTGTGTGAAGGTGTTAAATTGATGTCCGAGAAGGTACTGAAAATTTGGCGGCTCTGCGCGCCGCCGTTTTCTTGCTATTTAGGAAAAACCACGGGGGGGGGCAAATTGCCTTCCCCCAGCGGGGCGAGTGTTAATATCAAACTGCCGTAGAGGCTAAAATCCTCAAAGATAAATATTGGCGAACACTAGCAAGTAGCAGACACCCGTTGACGTCATCTTTTCAAGGTCACCGATGTAAACAAAGGGCTAACCATTCTACCTCCTATATAGGGCGTTGACCTCACTTACCTCCGCCCCTATAGGACATAGTGGTCGCGATGATAAAGTCGTCAGATGGAGACAGCATGGAGGCAATTAGTCCCAGCTTTCCCTCTAGTGGACTGCTCCATTTTGGCCTCATCTTGGTTTTCTTCTCAGTTGGAGTGGTGGGAAGACTTTCAGAGAAGTCGTCATCCATGGTGATGCTGTGAAAAACAAAATTTCGAGTAAAATATTTCGAGAAAAGAAGAGCAATTCGGGCATTTACTCAAATCGCAATGCTGAAAATTGACACAATTTTGCCAATCCGGCTCCTCTTGAAAGCAAAGTAAGTAATTTTTATTGGACATGTCACAAGTCTGTTAAAGGGACTATCCCACCTTTAACCCGCGACCGCCTGGGGGGGGGGGGGATCGGATCCGACCCCCCCCCCTCCGTTTTTCTTGAATAACTCATGAACCACTTTCGCTATCTACTTGAAACTTGGCATACCTTCTTCCCCATCAATTTGACGTCTTCTGTGGAATTTTTAAGAAAAAAAATTCCAAAAAATTTGAGTTATATCGATTTTAGTGATGTAACTACATGGCGTTTTTAGTCAAAAAGTGGTAAATGTTTAAAAAATCGCTCAAAATCAGGGTTTGAAGCAAATTGCAAATTAAGGACATCAAAAGATGCAGCTCAACGAGTTCTTCAAAATGGCTATCTCGGATTTTCCATAAAATGCGTTTTTCACCCCTATAAATTCAAAAAACTATATTTTTTGGAAAACAGCTAATAAAATCCTAAATTTTGGGAATTTCCAAAAAACCGGAATATATGTTGTAGAGCTCTATTAGAACATAAGATGCCCCAAATTTCAAGTTTCTATCTTGATTTTTGACCCCCAAATTGTAAAAAATAGCTCCAACATGCATAGGGCATGGTGACGTCATAAACATTTTCGTGAATTAGAGGCACTTCTGAACATCGCATGTGAAAACAAATGGCACCACTAGATTCCTGGGACAAAGGTCGTCTAGAAAAGTGCATTTTTATGTCAAAAATAAAAAGTTGAAAAATTGACCTTTTTTCTTAGCCCTCGCAGTGGCGGCGGAATAGGGGGTGCAGGGGGTGCAGCTGCACCCCCATCGAAAAACATGGGGGTGCAAACATATCTTTTTGCTCCCCCAAAATTCGTACAAGGGGCCCGTCGCACCATCCAATACATTTTCTCCCGAAAACCAGAGATCGGGAAACGAACACTGATGTGGAATCATCCGGGATGTCCATTTATGGTCAGGAGCGCCCCATGCTAGTCTGGGGCCCCCACACCGACTAGAAGTGTCCTGAGCCGCGTTTGGTGCTCCATGCGGCATCTGAGGGCCCGCACGACGGCCTCAGAGGGCCCTTTTATGACGATCTCTGAGGGCTCCCACGACGACCTCTGTCCCGTGGGGGTCCTACAACGGCCACTAAGGGCCCTCATGACGACCGCTGAGGGTCCCACAGATACTCCAGGGCCCCAAGGAGACTCCAGGGGTCACGCTGGCCTCCGAGGGCCCCTATGACGGCCTCTGAGGGCCCTTACGATGATCTCTGAGGGCTCTCACGACGACCTATGTCCCTTGGGGCCCTTTAACGACCACTAAGGGCCCTCATGACGACCGCTGAGGGTTCCACAGGACTCCAGGGGCCCCGCTGGACTCTGAGGGCCTCTACGACGGTCTCTGAGGGCCCTCGTGACGGCCCTAGACCCAACTCAAGTCTGAGGGCCCATTTGGCTTCAGACGGCCCAGCGACGGTGCCTGAGGGCCCCAGCACAACCAGGCTGCAGGGGCTATGCTGGCATCTGAGGGCCCTGCAACGGTCTATTGAGGGCCCTAACGATGGCCTCTAGCGGTCTTACCAAGGCCTCTGAGAGCCCTGCAAAGGTATCTGAGGGCCCATGAAGACCCTCACTATGGCCCAGAACCCCCATGACGACCTCTGATGATCCTTGCGAAGGCTTCTAAGGGCCATCACAACAACTTCTGAGGACCCCAGGACGGTCCCTGAGGGGCTGAGGGCCCTGACGACGACCTCTCTGGGCCCTCATGATGGTCTCTAAGACCCAACGTAAGCTCCAAAGGCCCACGCTGGCGTCTGAGGGCCCCACGACAGCCTCTGAGGGCCTCGACGCAGGCAGGCTCCAGGGGCCATGCTGACCTCTGAGGGCCCTCTTGACGGCTTCTAGGGCCTAACGAAGGCTTCAAGGGCCAACACTGGCCTCTGGAGAACCCTACGACAGCCTCGGAGGGTCTCAACTCAACGCAGGCAGGTGTCAGGAGACATGCTAGCCTCTGAGGGTCCCGCAGAGTTCAGATTCAGAGGACCCAACGACCTTTGTGGACCTTACGAAATACGAAGGTCTCCAAGAGCTCACGCAGGCTCCTGGAATTCCACACTGATTCTCAGGCCCCATGTCGGCTTGTTGAGGCACTTAATCTGCTCTTGGTGCCCCGTCGCCGGCCTCTGAGAGTTGTCGGAACTTATTGGGCCATGGGCCCTACACCGGCTTTTATGGCCCCTACATCGACTCTTGGGACTCATGACCCATGACATATGGATCTAAGCGGCTTCTAAGAATCCCCATGTTGGTTCTGGTAGCCGCCAGCCGAATATTTGGACTCACATGCGAGCTCCTGGGACCCCTTGCATACCCCAGGGGTCTACCTGCCTCTAAGACCCCACACATACTTTTTGGGCTCAAACGCTTAGTGCCCCTGAAGGCCCCACTGAGACCCCTTTCCTCTATTCAGTCCTCCATACCGGCTCTTTAGGATAAACATCGGCTCCTGTGGCCTCCATCCCGGCTTTGGAGGGCCTCCAGACAGGCTTTTTTGGGGTCCGATGCCGGTTTCTGAGAGCCCTCAAAAGACTTTCGAGCCTATACCTACTGCCTTCTGAAACCTTTCAGCAACTTTCAAGGGACCGACCCTGATCGGAGGGCTCATTCAGTCTGGGGAGTCATGTAAGTCTCTGGAGGAGTCTCTATGTGGTCGGTTTCCAAGGGGCTTCTAAACACGGTCTTCTTGGTACGGTCTCGTAGGGCCCTCAATGGTCCACTGCGGATCCAGAAAAGTGGTTTGAGACGCTGCGGGTGGTGGCTAGACTAAAAGATTAGCCGATAAAAAACTAGCTGCATTTGCTTCTTTATGCTTTCATTATTTGAGATAGGTAGGTGCACTGCAATTTCAAACCTTTTACAGAACTTGTGTGTATGGGGATAGTTTTCCAAAATCTTCGTTTTTCATAAATCAATAATAATCACTCAAAAAAAAAAAATGAAGGGGGCCCACAACTTCCAGAGGGGCCCCTTGAGAAAACTTTGCACCCCCATCCAAAATTACCTTCCGCCGCCACTGAGCCCTCGTTTAGTTATGTGTAGTATAAACGATTTTTTATGCTTTCAATGCACACTTATCACCAGCACAGTGACTTGGGGTCACATATAACCATTACCATCGGATTCGGCGTGAAAAATAAGCCATAAAACATGTGTCGCACGCCCATGTAGTAGAAAGTGAAAACCGTGACCTTTCGTGACCTGACCTAACCTTGACCTGTACCTAGTATGACCCCTATACGCACATGGTACCTTCACTAGGCCTTTGAGGTCATTTTTGGTGAGTTTCGAGCAGCAGCTATCGATTCCGCTGTCCGTAAGCCGATTCATGCAAAACCCCTGAATTTGACCTTTGACCTGACCTAGACCCGAAAGTTGACCTCAATCTTAAAATCTTAAGAGTGCTTTGGGAAGGTCTCGTAGAGACCTCTCGAACGCCGCCTCGCGGGGCTCGATACGACCATTGGTTCTCGAGATAACAGGGGGGGGGGGTCGGATCCGACCCCCCCCCCCAGGCTGTCGTGGGTACGGAAATAGCCCAGGCGGTGCCGGGTTAACATGGGGTTTGAGTTGAGATAGCCAAGTTTGCGGCGAGGTTCAGAAACCACTATCTATCTAGGTTGCAACCCCCGCGGCCTCTTGGTGTTGAAGAAATTCGTTCCCTTCATTTGAAAATGGGCCTTGTACAAGGCCCTATCTTCAACATGGAGCGACCGTTAGTGTGACGTCACCTCGTTTAGTCATTCTGATTTAAATGGGGTTGTTCGTTGAAAAATCGCTTAACCCGCGCCCTGCTGGGGGGTGTTTAAACACCCCCCTTGTGGTTTTTCGCGAATATCTCAAAAACGGCGGCGCGGAGCGCCGCCGTTTTTGGTACACCTTATCATACATCAATTCTACACATGTTGTGAAAATTTCAGACCAAGGTCATTCAAGGTCAGGTCACCAGGTCACTTGAAGTGACCTCACCTCATAAAAAGTTTCAATGTCTGTCATAGCTACACCGAGTGACCGATCGCTTTGAAACTTTCAGCGATGGCTAAGAGCAATAGTATGTACAAAATGTTTATCTCAGAATTTTGATATCGATGACCTAAGGTCAGGTCAATTTTGCGACCTCCCCATTATAAGTCAATGGGAGAAAATTGAAATGCGCCTCCTTTGGACGAAAGACATTATAAACACTCCCAAACACTGAATTACAAGTGGTTTAGACACACTGAACATGAAAATGGTGTCCGTGACCCCTGTTTATGCCCTGAGGTCATCTTAGGTCACGAATGGTATCTAACAGTTTTTCGCAAATAACTTTTGATAGAGGCATGCTAGAGCGATGAAAACGCCTTAGATGTGTTCAGTTCGACGATACGGATCGACTGATATGCAACATGACCCTTTCCGGTCAGGTTATGACCTTGACCTGAGGTCAAATTTTCAAGTTGACCTTTCAAGGTCAAGTTATAGTTCGTTCGATGCGTCTTGACGAGAGGAACACGATGCCGGTAAAAGTAAGCTCGCACAACGCTTGGGTCAAAAGTTATTGCAGAAAAACTGTTTCCGAAAAAATCGGCTATTTTTGCAGTTTTTGCCCCCTGCAGGCAAAACCGTTGACGTTAGGTCAAATCTGAGAGATTTACTCAGAAAGGGCGTTAATAGGGCTATCGAATGCGCTTTTCCGCGGCGCTGTAGCTCTATTGGTTCCCGAGTTATGCGTTGGCTTCTTGGAAATTGTCGACATTCGACCTGGAAATCGGCGAAATTTTGCCTTCAATGACCTCTGGTGACCTGACCTTGGACCTGACCAAAAAATTGACCGAAGTGATTTCGTCATTATTTTTGACGCTCTTTCGAACGCCGCCTTCCGCGTATCGCTACGTGGCCCAGGAGCCGAGTTAGAAGGGGGGGGGGTGTTCAAACACCCCCCCCCCCAGCAGGGCGTGGAAATCCAGGACCCCCAGCCGGGCGCGGGTTAAAACATGATCTGAACTTTGTTGTGGTGCCTACAGAGTAAAAAGAATCAGCTTTATGACAGTAATGTGGCCTGGGGAAGGAGGTAATTTTGGGCTGTGACGTCACATATTTGAAAGTTTGTGTTTGGAATATGGGAAGCCTAAGATGTTTAAAGGGACCCTCCCACCTTCAAAAAAGTTTATGAATTGGCATAAAAGTGATGTCGCTCGGTTCAGATTGAGCGAAAACAAATATCTACCAAATTTCACCGAAAAATATTCACCGGTTTTCAAGATATTAGACTTTTACTTTTGTTTACTTTTTTGGGATCTCCGCTGTTTCTAGCGACTTTATTTTAGAAGTGCGGCGTTTGCGGCAGATGTTGCGCGCAAATAGCATATACCACCGCGTGCTACAAAACGTTTTAGTCAAACATTTAAAAATCGTTAGATATTTGCGCTGACGTCACACATTCAGAGGGGTATTCCTAAGCATTAGCCCCTCTGAATCAAAATGCTGCAATTTTGAAATTAAATATTTCCGATTTAAGGCATTTCTCGATTGTGTGAGTGCCGAAACCGGTAATTGTGAGCCAGGGACCCCATTTTGGCTATCTCAACTCAAATCTAATGTTAAGGTGGGAGGGTCCCTTTAATGAAAAAGAAATGCCAGAACCGTGTTCCTGGTCATCTAATCTATAAAGTCGGGCACAATTTAACTGGTTTTAACAACATTTTAGAAGGTGGGATAGTCCCTTTAACACGCGCAGTGGAAGGGGGGCGGATTTCGCCCACCCCTCCTGTGTTTCGCCAATAACTCGCGCCGCAAACATAATACTAATGTGAAATTTTGGCTTCTTGTCCAGAATTGAATTGCAGATCTTTTCGAGCAAGAAATAACAAAATTGGTGCACAATTTTTCAAGTAATAGCGGTGTAAAGTCAAACATCCTGCCGCCGCGGCGGCGCGGCGGCGCGGCGGCCGGCGCTAGCCGCTACGCGCCGCCTGAATTGTAGACTGTGCCGGGGCGGGACGGTTCCGTGTTTACATCGCGCTCCTTACCGCTGATTATATTAGATTCGCGTCAAATTTGTTGAGAAGACTGAGAAATGTACAGGCAATCATATGCTCAAAGAATTTTGATATCGGCCGGTAACAACTTGAGTTATGAGTGTGTAAACACAAAATTGTGATTGCCGCGTTTCCCACGTCGGCCGATTCCGTTTCAGCCGGCGACATCTCAGCCTTAGCAGGCTTCTAACTGCCATATTTATTGTTGGATTACCTAGAAATTCACCATACATACTCACAAATAAATGTTTGTTCTTTAGTATGGTGAAAGAAAAAAGAAAACCGGCCGGTAACTTTCTGAGTTATCGGCGTGTAAACGTGCAAAAAAGTCGCTCATATGGCAGATTTGACCACATTTGACCTCATTTGACCTTGAAGATATTGACCTAGGGTCATGAAATTCATACACAACAGAGGGCGATACTTCAGTTTTTTACATTACAGTAGCATAGTTTTGATGATGCTTCACTGTTTCTCCTTGGTCAATTACATAAAAAAACAGCTTCAAAACACTTTGATTCGCAACATTTACCGAAATATAATAAAGAAACCACCCTATCGTCAGCACGCTACGTCAACTGCCAGGGACGCAAAATGGCGACGCTGTTTTGCCTCTGATGCGCCAGATATGTAACCTTAAATAATTGGATACGACTACTAAATACAATATGCCGATATTAGACTATTTTCCTCCTAGGGGACACTGGGAAATCGGGGTTTTCGGGTGAAGGTAATTGAGAAACGTGTTTGCTAGCGACGCGAACCAATGATGTGGCCTTGGCCACAAATAGGGGATATCTTAGGTAAGGGTAAATGGAAAAATGTTAGGTTAAAGAGTTCTGGAATTGTCTCCAGGCCGGCCTTCGGCCGGCCTGGAGCCTTTTCCAGAACTCTTTAACCTAATATTTTTCCATTTACCCTTACCTAAGATATACTCCTTTTCGTCCCTAGCGCACGAACCCTTGGAAACGTGGCAGGTTAGGTTAGGTTAGGTTAGGTTAGGTTAGGTTTGGTTTGGTTTGGTTTGGTTTGGTTTGGTTAGGTTAGGTTATGTTAGGTTAGGTTAGGTTTAGTTTGAATCTAAAACCCCCCTCCCCCACCCAAAAACCCCGATTTCCCAGTGTCCCCTAGGATGAAAATAGTCTACAATTATCGGCATATTGTATTTAGTAGTCGCATCCGATTCTTTTAAATTACATATCTGGCGCATCAGAGGCAAAACAATGTCGCCATTTTGCGTCTCTGCAGTGTGTGCCTAGCGCATCAAAGGTGGGGTGATTTCTTTATTATATTTCGGTAAGTGGTGCGAAGTTAAGTGTTTTGAAACTGTTTTTGATGTAATTGGCCATCGAGAAGGAGAAATGATCATCAAAATTGTGTTTCTTTAATGTAAAAAACTGAAGTTTTACCCGGTTTCCTGACCTGGTGACCTGACCCAAGGTCACCCGGACCTGAAATATTCAGGTCATATGTAAAAAGGTTGCCCCATAGGCTGTGCAAATTCGGCGGCGCTGCGCGCCGCCGTTTTTACGCTATCTTCGAAAAACCTTAGGGGGGTTGCATCGCCCCCCCCCCTACCAGGGCCCTATACATGCAGGAAGGAAGGCCAGCCATATACAACACATACAGACACCTACAGACATTGTGCCTGCCATGATGTTTTCTTACCGTGCCGCCACTTACCTGTATTTGACACAGCAACAGGTGTTTTGGGCCGCGCGTCTGCTTCTGTAGAACAGCCCCAGCGCCGGCGCCGGGAATATTGTGGAGCGGAGCTGCGCGGGCACCGCCGCACAGTAGCCTCCGAGACCGACTAATTGCGTCTGCGTGTAAGCCAAGCCGGCCCCTCTCTCCCTCTCTCCCTCTCGCCGTCTGCCGCCGGCGGCAGAATACCAGAGGCCTACAAACCAAGAATAATCAGTAGCTCTCAACTTAGTTTAGCGCAGAATGAGCGCGGTCCGGGCGGGTCCCCGTCTCGCCTCTTGGCGGCGTGCCAAAGGATGGGAATCGGGATACCTGTTCCATCGGCACTGGCGGGAGGGAGGAGGAGGGGGAGGCCATGGTATTCAGTGAATTATGTGCCAGCTGGCGCCGTATGGTGGCGCTAGCATAGCATGCTATTTAATTTAAATCAATGATAGGTACAAATATATATATATATATATATATATATATATATATATATATATATATATATATATATATATATATATATATATATATATATATATTGTGTATACTTGGGAAGCAGGTTCTCTGTAATGCATTTGAGATTAAAATTAACAGCAGTTTGAGCGTTGTTGACTTTCTTATGAAGGTTCTCGATTCGTCGGATTAGCTGTCTTGTTTCACTATTATGTTCAAAAAGGATGTTGGAGAATGATTCTCTATTATATACGACGTTTCGTTCGGACATCGAACATCATCAGGTGATAAATTCAGGCGAACATATACACAAGACTGGGATAAATATGATGATATTTTTGTGGACATCGAAAATGAGGAACAGCTGGAACTACTCAGACTTGAATTGCAGAACAGATCGGTGTTGAGCTTCACCGTGGAGAGAAGTATCAACAACAAGATCCCATTTTTGGACGTAGCTGTTGATGCAGCTGACGGAGTGTTCAGGACCGATGTGTTCAGGAAGCCGACCGACACTGGACACACCCTGGACGGCCGGAGTGAATGTCCTATGCGCTATAAAGAAAGCGTCGTCCGCGCCTATGTGCACCGGGCACTGAAGTATTGCACATCGTGGCAGCTACTACACCAAGAACTGCAGCGAATCCGCAGTATACTGGCAAATAACCATTACAACTCAGACATGGTTGAAGATCAGATACGAAGGCAGCTTGATAAACATCTCGGAGCTACGAAGCATTCTGCACGTCCAGCCGGTGTCCCGCCTACACAAGGGCACCGTCCAGAAGCAGCAGTGTCCCGTGACACCCGAAGTGGACCAGAAGGGGAGCAACAACTAACATCGGCAGCCACGACGGCGACCACAGCAGCCGCGACGGCGACCACAGCAGCCGTGAAAGCGACCAATGCAGCCGCGACGGCGACCACTGCAGCCGCGACGGCGACCACAGCAGCCGCGACAGTCTCTTCTGCGGCTGTCGTAGAGGAACACGATCCTGCGGGTCTAGTTGGTCTCTCTTCAGCGCACGAGCACCGCCTGAAGACAGCAGGAGCAGCAGAGACAGCGGAGAAGACAGACACCAAAGCAGCCGCGACAGTGTCTCCTACGGCTGGCGTAGCTGAACAGTCTGCTGCGGGTCCAGTTGCCCTCCCTAGTCCCGCGCCTGAGCACCGCCTGAGGACAACAGGAGCAGCAGAGGAAGCAGAGGCAGACACCAAAGCTACCGCGACAGCGCCTTCTACGGGAGATGGAACCACAAGCTCGACTTCCAGAGGAAAGAAGTCTCCTGAGGCTGAAGCTGCAAATGAAAACCAAGACGGCGTGTTCACCAGGACAAGGAGTCGTAGCGGACGTCAGATAGGAGACGCTTCCTCTCAGATAGCAAGTCGTGGCTCGGAGATCACCGCGAGCTCAACTGAAACAGAAGGGCCTCAGCCGTCGAATGATATTGCGCCAGGTGACCCACAGAGCAGGGGTGAGCTGAAAGTATTTTACCAGTCGATTATGTCGTCTGCGTATAAGAAAGATGAAAAAGCAATTCGTAGCATTGTGATGAATAACTGTGTCCCTGTAGCGGGTGCAACAGCGCTCCGTTGCTAGCGACGGCGCCGTAGCGTGTGCAACCCAGCGGCGGCGTCGTAAACTAGTAAATCCTTTTGATGCACGCAGATGTCAGTGATTGATTGACACATATGTCTTGTGATTGTTTTCTGCCTTATATGTTATCTCTTGTAACCGTAGCTGTTGTATTGTCACGCCTTAAGAGGGTAATCTAGGAGCGCAGGTGTGGAGTAATTTTTCTTTGTCCAACTGTCACTGTAATTTGTAATATTACCATTTGGACGCTGAAACTACCTATGCAAGGTAGCCTTGCTAGAAATATAGTGTGCCAATTTTTGTTCAATAAATCAGTACGATCCACGATCGGTAACTCGTTCATCCTAGTCAAGCTCAGAGCTACCGACACGGGCCCACATCGGGAGTCTCCTCCTCCCTTGGAGTTGTGTGGTGCCGACGGTGGCGGATGGTAGTCTCTGACTTGACAATCCTTTCACTCCCTCTCACAACGAGAGGTGAACTACTAGCGGTATACACTGCTGGCGGTTCAAGTGGCGACCGGCTATTCTCAGCCGTGCCACATTGGTGACACCCGACTCTGGACTCACATGCCAGACACTTACTCCTGGCCGTCTCACTAGCCCCGCTGTGGTACGGACCACTACTGGCCTTCTCACCTGCCAGACGGCCACTTCCGGACTTCCACCTTCTCTCGCCGCGGTGCGGACCCCCAAGGCACGCAGGATTCGCCGCTGACTGGGGGTACGCCATCAACACGCCAGCGGATTGTGATGCCTTCCCGGACCTCTGTAACGCAGCGAGCGTAGTGGGCAGCGGCCAGGTCCGGGATGAGCAGTGCGTCGTCTCGGGCTCTCAGTGTACAGTGTTAACCCCCGGACCACGGTAGCGCAGCGAGCGCAGTGGGCAGACGAGTTGCCGGTCCGGGGACGCGGCGCGGTACGGTGACGTGTACACCATGCCCGTGATGGAGGGCGACACCTCGCAGGAGGCTGCGTCGGCCGACACTCCTGCCACCACGGCTGCATCGGACGAGCGGGCGCGACCGCTTGCTTCATTCAGACTGCCGGCGTTTGCCCCGGACGAGGCGGACCTCTGGCTGCTCCAAGTTGAATGTGCGTTCGACGTGGCTGGCATTGCCGATCCCGTCACAAAGTTCAAGCTGCTGGTGGCAAATCTGCCTACCAACGTGGCGGCCCAAGTACGGGACGTTATCGTCAGTGCACCAGGAGACTTCGACGGGCTGTGCACTGCCCTCCGCCAGCGCCTCGCCCAGTCCCGTGCCAGCCGCCTCGAGGCCCTGCTCCGGCATCAACAGCTCGGCGACAGGTCGCCTTCCCAGCTTCTTCGCGATATGAGAGGACAACTTTCAACGGCTGGCGACTCGTCGGTGGACAGTGGCCTACTGCGGACCCTGTTCCTCCAGCGGCTGCCGCAGTCCGCCCGCGCCGCTCTCTCGCTCCTGCCGGAGGCCACTCCGCTGGCAGAGCTCGCAGAGGCGGCTGACCGCTTCCTGGAGGCGTCTCGGCCCACTGGCGCCGTCTCCGCCGTAGGTGCGAACTCCAGCCCGGCTCCTGCGGCCACGACTGGGGACGGAGATCTGGCTGCCGCCATCGCTTCCCTGTCCGCCGTCATCAGCCGGCTGGACACCTCCCATCGGCGGTTGGAGGGGGCAGTTGCTGGTCGCCGCTCGCGGCCAGGAACGCCTAGGCGTGGCTCCCGGTCGTCCTCGCCCTCCCGCGACGAGCGGGAGGATTACTGCTGGTACCACCGCACCTACGGAGCGCGGGCCCGAAAGTGCACTGGGCCGTGTGCGTGGACGCCGGCGGGAAACTCGGAGGCCTGAGCCGGCCTGCGCCTCCCGCATCAGGCCCGACACCGGACTTGGCGCCGCTCTTTTATGTGCACGATACTAAATTGAACTGCCGATTCTTGATAGACACTGGGGCCCAAGTGAGTGCCCTGCCTCCTCACGCGCTCCCGCGAGGCGCAGTGCTAGCCGCCGGACAGGCTCCCCGACTGACCGCGGCCAATGGCTCCAGCGTGCCGGTCATCGGTCTGTTTGACCACTGTGTGACTTTGGATGGTGGCTCGCCTCTGCCGTGGCGTTTTGTGGTGGCCAAAGTCGGCGTGCCCATCCTCGGCGCCGACTTTCTGGCCCATCACCACCTCTCGGTGGATGTGAGGAGGTGCACGCTGTGTGAGGACAATGGAACTGTCAGAGCGAGGGGCACCACTGCAGTAGTGTCCTCTTTGGGTCTCCGACCCACTGCCTCGCCCTACCAGTCGATGCTGGCGGAGTTCCCGGGCGTCACGGCCGACACCTCTCGTCCGCTTCCGGTACGCCATTCGGTGACGCATCATATCGTCACCACGGGCCCGCCCCGGAAGTCACGCCCTCGCCGTCTCGCTCCTGACCGGCTTGCTGTCGCTCGCCGAGAGTTCGACAAGCTCTACCGGCTCGGCGTCATCCGCCCGTCACAGAGCAGTTGGGCTGCGCCACTCCACCTGGAACCGAAGGCCACTCCTGGCGAGTGGCGCCCGTGCGGGGATTACCGGGCTCTCAACGCTGCCACCGTCCCCGACCGGTACCCTCTCCCGTACCTCCAGGACTTCGCCTCTCAGCTGCACGGCTGCTCCATCTTCACCAAACTCGACCTCCACCGGGCCTACAACCAGATACCCGTGGAGCCGTCACCAATGTGGCACGGCTGAGAATAGCCGGTCGCCACTTGAACCGCCAGCAGTGTATACCGCTAGTAGTTCACCTCTCGTTGTGAGAGGGAGTGAAAGGATTGTCAAGTCAGAGACTACCATCCGCCACCGTCGGCACCACACAACTCCAAGGGAGGAGGAGACTCCCGATGTGGGCCCGTGTCGGTAGCTCTGAGCTTGACTAGGATGAACGAGTTACCGATCGTGGATCGTACTGATTTATTGAACAAAAATTGGCACACTATATTTCTAGCAAGGCTACCTTGCATAGGTAGTTTCAGCGTCCAAATGGTAATATTACAAATTACAGTGACAGTTGGACAAAGAAAAATTACTCCACACCTGCGCTCCTAGATTACCCTCTTAAGGCGTGACAATACAACAGCTACGGTTACAAGAGATAACATATAAGGCAG